CCGCTTAGAGAGGGCTGAAAGCCCTACGAAGCGGTATATAAGTCTAACTGCTATTGCTATTGCTATCACGCACCTAGACTACCATTTCTGACCAGATGTCTTATCCAATCTCTTCTTGAAACCTGCCCCGGGCATGAAGCACCCGCGACTTCGGAAAGGCAAAGGCGTTCCAACCGGTGCCTTGTTCTCACGGTCGGGGGTGAGTCGGTCCGTCCTTCAGCGGAGTTCAACCCAACCCGGGAAACGCCGAGGCTCCCTTTGCAAAACTCTTTTCCCCTCCGTCCCTCCCGAAGAGGCTCGCCGGCCCCCGCGCTTTTTGCGCCGCCGCCGCCTCCCTCCTTCCCTCGCCAGGCGGAGCCACCGAGACGTAAGACGGCTGCGCAATCGGACGGAGCCCCATCACGTGGCGGAGTTCGTCGTTCTCCGCCTTTGCTTGCTCAACAGACCCTCCCTGCTACGTTCGGGAGTCCGCGGCGCTGCTGCTCCCGCCGCCGCCGCCGCTGCCGCTGCGCTCTCGGCGCGCGCTTCTCCCGGTGCAGGTAAATATAATTACGGGGGAAAAAAGCAGCCGCTCCAGCGGCGGCCGGTCGGAAGAAGCCTGACGCGGGTTGCCCGTCTTGCTTTTTGCAGACCCCGAGCGAGTCGAAGCGGCCCCCTTTCCGCTCCTCGCCTTCCCCCGGGGGTAGCTGGGTCGGGGGGGTGGGTGGAAGCAGCGCGCGGGCGAAGAGCCAGCTTGGAGTGAGTGGTGAGGAGCCCAAAAAAGAAGAAGAGAGAAAGGAAAGCAAGTGGTGAGGAGTGCGGCGAGCTCCCCGGGAATTGCTGGGGGAAAGAAGCAGCCCGAAGGCCTCTTGCTGTTGTTCCTGGGGGGGATAAAATTAGCCGGAGGCGGGAAGAACAGTGCTGGGGAAGAAACTTACAAGCCAGCCGCCGCCGCTGCCGCGATCCTCGGTCGTAACGTTGGGAAGAAGCAGGTGATCCTGGCCAAGTGTCGGAGGAAGGGAGCGGAATGGCTGGAGAGAGCTGGTGGCTCGTCTGGAGCCGGGGAAGATCAGGGCGGGGAAGACGGGAGAAGAAGAAGAGCAAGTCGCGGGGAAAAAAGCTTGGCTGACCCCGAATTGGAAGAGGTTTTGGGGGGGGGAGAGAGATTTTGGCTGGCTGGTCTTTTTGCAAGATGCCCGATGCTTGAGCGTTAAGGGTAGGATGATGGCAAAGGAAGGGCGGCTTTCCCATTTGCCCAGGATTGGCGCTTGGTCGTCCCACGACTTGATAGAAAGCGGTGTGTGTGTGTATTTGTGTGTGTAGTGGTGGTGGTGGGATGCTGCTGCTGATAGAAAGCGGTGTGTGTGTGTATTTGTGTGTGTAGTGGTGGTGGTGGGATGCTGCTGCTGATAGAAAGCGGTGTGTGTGTGTATTTGTGTGTGTAGTNATTTTGTCCCCCTGGATATAATTGTGTTTAGCTCCCACAACCTGAGCCAGGCAGGGTTTGTAAGGGGGAAATGCAGCATTCCGTTTGCTAAGAGCGCTTATAAGGAAGGCTATTTTTCCCTTCTGTTAGCCTGAGGAAGGAATAGGATGGAATCAAGGAAGGCGAAGACCGGGGCCACATATACACTGCAGCAATAGGATTCATAACAGTGGTGGGATTCAAATAATTTAACAACCGGTTCTCTGCCATAATGACCAGCTGGGTAGGCATAGCTTGGTGGTCATGTGACAATGTGGCTGTGGCCAACTCACGTCGATGGGTGCTTTGCCTTAGCTGTTACAATGGAATAAGGGTTAACTGGAGAGGCAGTTTTTGTAAGCAGGGCAATCAAAATTACACTAGAAACAACACCAGAATGTTTCCTTCCTGCCTTCCTTACAGGATTAGCCCTGTAAAGTGGGAAAAAACAAAACAAGATTTCTTCCAACAACCGGTTCTCCGAATTGCTTAGAAAGTTACCGACCGGTTCTCCCGAATAGGTGCGAACCGGCTGAATCCCATCACTGGCTTGTTCATTCCATGGCAGCCTACATTTTGCCCCCAAATACTTCATTTGGCCTTAAGAAGTCCCAGTAGGGTGTATAATAAGGGAGCACAGCTCAATGCATTCATCCCAGCAGGTATTTTTTCTACATTTGAGCTCAAATTCAGTAGCCAAGTCTGGTTGGAAGTACAAGTAGTCCTCGAGCTACGACCACAATTGTGCCCCAAATTTCTTTTGTTAAGTGAGGTGGTTTGTTGCTCCGTTTTAATGACCTTCCTTGCCACCGTTTTTAAGCGAATCACTGCATTGATAAGTTAGTAGCCCAGTCGTTAGATGAATCTGGTTGACTTTGCTTGTCAGAACGTCGCAAAAGATGACCACGTGGCCTTGGGAAAAAGCAGCGGTCATAAACATGAGCCAGTTGCCAAACACCTGGATTTTGTTCACATGAACACAGGGATGCTACAAAGGTCATAACTGTGGAAAACGGTCATAAATCAGTTTTTCCCCCCAGTGCTATTGTAACTTTGAATGCTCACTAAATGAACTGTTGTAAGTTGAGGACTACCTGTATAGCAATATAGTGTAGGAGGACATCATATATCCGAGGTGGCACAGTGGTTAAATGCAGCACTGCAGGCTACTTCAGCTGACTGCAGTTCGGCTATTCAAATCTCACCAGCTCAAGGTTGACTCGGCCTTCCATCCTTCCGAGGTGGGTAAAATGAGGACCC